AGGATTGTCCTTTATTTAAAGAAAAATGAAATTTGAATAAATTATTATAATCCACAATAGGATAATTTTCTTAAAATTTTTCTAAACTATTTTCTATTAAATGACCGGTTTAATATACATTAGTGAATTACAAATATTCGATTTATATATTTTATGAATTTAACATACATTGATTTTACACTTGATTTTATAATATGGTTTTCCTCAAAAATATAATATATAACCTTTATATGTAAATATACTGTTAATTATTAATATTAATTTAATTGTATAAAATTGCATTAATTTATAATTTCTCATGTAAAATTTTTTATTTAAAGCTTCTAACAAAAAATTCCAATAATATTGTATCATTTGCAATGTTCTAACAATTTTGCAACGTTGTAGCAATAATAACTACTACAAAATTTTGTGATTTTAGGGCTAAAATGATTTTGGTAGCCGATAGATCAATACTATATATAATAACTATGAATTTAGAATTATAAAATTTACCTTGTTAATATCTTTGAAAAGATGAACATTGTCAAGAATAAGTTTTATCGCTGCTGGTGCACTAAGTGATCTATAAAAACAAAAAATAACATGTTAATAAATTTTTATGATTAAGAAAGCAGTATAATAGACAATTACAAAGAAAAATATTATTATATTACTTAGGTTTGATAGCTTCAAAATTATTTAATATGTATTTAAGGATTTTATCGTTGTGTGAATGCCTCTGAAGAATATGTTTGAAAACACGAGGATGGTCATCATCATCAAAAAATGAAGTATTAAATGCTAATATATTTAAATAATTGATGATGATATTAGGATTTTCAGCGCAACTCAAGCCCATCAATAATCTTTTTGGGTCCTCTTTTAATTTTCCTTTTATATATATGTCAAACATTTTATTCCAAGTAGTTCTATTGGCTGCCATCATACCGGTACAGTACATAAATTTTTCTCCTCGTAGAATTCTAAAGTATATATTTATTAAGGAAGGTAGGATACATACTATTTTATACAGTAGCCGATTTTCTTTTTTATCCAATTTCGTATCTTTACGCGCGCGTGCGTTCCGTAATCCTATTGCATGTTTATTAAACAATCATAAATTTGTAAAATTAAATTCTTATTCTGCGCTATTGTTCTACTCTGTAGTGTAAAACACTTGTTATATGTCATCACATAATAATACTACAATAAAGGAACAAAATGAAGAAAGATATATTGATAGTGCAGCTTGTCATTTTATTGTACTTATATTTTTGCTTGTACATATGCAACGCATATTTATTCTATTATTATATCATTATTAAATAAGAATGGAGTCTGACTTAAATAGAAAGTGTAAGACGAATATTTGGTTTCGATAATTTGAAGAAATAGAGAATCGACTGTAATATATCTATATACACGTGTATGCATGCACACACAAATACAATTTACGAAATAATCAAGAATGTAAGATTATTTATTACTTGTAAGTTTTGGGATTTGTGAGATGTCTGTTTAATTTAAGCGCGGTCACTTCTTTGCATTTTTTGCTACCGAGATTACATGCACATTTTAAGGCGGCTAGCCTTATTATTTTTGTGACATCGTCATCATTACGATTTTCTTTGAATTTTATATTTCGAAGGAGTTTATGAAGGAGTTGCTTGTAGCGTTCCTAGAAATCATAAAGTAATGTATTCGATTTAAGACACTTCCAGACGACATGGCTAATGTACAATAACTTTACGCATATTTGTTAAATATTGAGAATATTTACACAAATAATTATGCAAGTCATATCGCGCGCGCGCGCGCGTGTGTGTGTGTGTGTGTATGTTGTGTGTATGTAATATTTGCTAATTTGACGTAGCCACCCAGATAGCAACGTATCTATCTTGTTGCTGGCATGTTGCTTGTTAAGTATATATTGTTAAGTAAATAAGTATAAGTTGCTATCAGAATTGCAGCAACTGAGTCCTCATTTGTTGGGAACTGGATACGTCATCGATAACATTGAGTAGCAACTTGCCAGCAATTTGTCGACAAAATCGTTATCATTAAATTCGTACTGTTGCCATAATAATATGCAACATCATACAACGCTGTTATATTGCCATCAACGCAAGATAACATTGATTAACGCAATATCTTGCTGTTAAACTGCTGGCAATACGCATTGTTGTCTGCATGTTGCTACAATATCGGTATATTCGAAATCATTGAAGACAATTCTACGGCAAGTTGCCAGCATCATAAGCATGTGTTATTTTGTTAAAACAAGTTTTGCTATCTGGGCATATTGACAGGATCTGAGTACATGGTTTATTGATATTTATCAAACATATAATCAACACATGACAATATAGTTTGTATTACAGATTATATTGTTATATACTTTAAATTGCATATATATATATTATATCTTTATATACTTATGATAGTGGTTTTACTATGACGTAAACGATAAGATATATATAATTTGCTAGGTATTTAATATGTTAATTGGAATGAGTATTATGTGCTCACAAATACATAAAATAATTGTTACAGCACTTCGTAATTGTATATTTAATACTTTATATTATTCGGTTTTTTACTATATTTTTATTTTTTTTTTAATATTATAAACCATTTTTATTTGAGAATGTTATTTTTTTTATATTAAAAACAATCTGCTTTAATTATATAATATATTACGTGCAAATAGTATAACTTTTTTACATGTTGGCTTTAAAAAAAAATGCAAATTTAAAAATAAACTAATTTGTGTAGTACAAAAAAAATTAGAATTATTTATAATACTTTATATAACTTGAATGATATAAGGTCATACCTTGACATGTTTCATTTCTGTCAAGAAGAGCGGCTTCGACATAATTTGTATAATATCTAACAATGGTTGCCATGCTACACCATTTGTTTCTCGCTTGAGGTAGCTTATAAGTTTAAGATATAAATAACCACTTATTCGATCATCTAATACCATGGCATGTGAATCAGCAATGATTTGAGCACGATTGAGAACATGTATATTCGTATACTTATTAGTATTTAAGTAATGTAAAATTTTTTCCCAATTCTTAGCATCATAATTAACACGATAGTAGCCTGTTGTATTATTCATTGTAAATCTTTTTAATGAATTTGAATTTATTAAGATATATTTTTAAATATTCATTTTAATTTTTTTTTTAATGTAATACACAAATGTAATATATTATACATATACTAATATCACAACGAAATATAGCAGTTATGGATTCTAAAGTATTTTATATTAATTAATATTTGACACAATTTTGAAAAATTAAATACATTAGCTCTTATAAATAAAAAAATACATGCAAATATATTTAATAAATATATTTAATAAAAACGATGTAAAACTTTCGTAATGATAAAACAAAATAAAATAAAAAGCTTAAATTTTTTTATATATATACTTACCACTAAGTTGCAAATTAACAATAATCCAATCATCTGAGTTAATTATAAAGCTTATGTTATGTTGATCTGGTCGTAACCAATAACGAGGTACAGTATTGGAGAAATCCGGATTGGACTGCGTAGCGAAAGTTATAGGGATCCACCATTTAGTAGTTTTATTCTCAGTCTCATCATATTGGACACATGTTTGTGATATTGTTACTTCGCCAGTTTCATAATTTCGCTCCACATGTACAATAGGGTAACGCTCTTGATTCATCCAAGTATCCATCACTCCTTTTATTGTGAAGTTTTCGTGCGGGATATCAGATTCGTCTAGAGCACTTTGCATGGCGCTCCACAAATCATTCGGAGTGGCTGTGCTAAACTGACTACAAATTTAGACAAACATGGAGTAATGTATATTGACTATTAAAGAATCTTAAAGAAGTGAATATTTAATGTAATCGGATGTATAGATTACATGTAAAAACTTATTATACAGCTTCAAACTGACATATATTAAATTATAATTGAATAAAAACGTAAAAGATTCTATTTCTAATACGCTTTTATTATATAGTTAATGTTACGTATATTATAAAAGTGCGTTCTGAAAGCGGACCAAAGTGTACAGCCTATAATTGAACAATAATAATCGAGCGCATATAAATTCTGATAATGTTATATATTTCATTGTAAATATTAGAAGTATTATTATAATATTTAATATTATGACATAATAATATAATAATAATGTAATGTTAGAATAAATGTACTTACTGTTTGACCAAATATGTAATAAGACCCTTTCGAAATATCTCATCAGTAATTATATTATATAACATGCGTAATAAAACTGGCGCTGCGATAATACACATCATAAAATATCAATTAATAATACATTTAAAATAGATATATTTAAAGTTACATACGTAATAAATACATGCTATGTAGAAAGATGCATTGCGCTAAAAAAAGTATTTGTAGGCTGATAGCCATCTGTTTATCTTTTTCTTTGTGCTATACATATTAAGATTAAAGAATCTATAAACAGCAGTTTAATTTTATTTTTACGTTATATCTTACATTTATTATAAATTTCAGTAGAATACTGCGGAAGTTCATTTATAGTATCACCAAGCGAAAACTTCAATGTGATAGAATTCAATAAACCTATATCTTGAAGTAAGCATCGTTGTATGTCCTCCACATCCAATAGATACAGTACTGGCAATTTGAAAATCTAAAGAAAAAAAAGATGCTTTGAAGTGACTAAATATTAAAAATTCTGAAAAACTTGCATTAGAAAAAAAAAACTAATTTGTTTGCTACTTCCAGAAACAATGTTATTTTACATTTCATAACATGTAGATTATATTAAATTTTTTGTTAATTATTTTTTAAGAAGAGAGAGCAATATCTCATTTATCTAATCATTTTGAAAAATATTGGAGATTATTTAATATGAAAATAAAATTAAGATATAAAAATGCAAAATGTTAAATTTATTATTTATTTTCTTAAATACTAAATGCAGCGGATGCAGAGAATAAAATATTCAATTTGATTTTTCAATCGAACTTTAATAAACTATTATAATGTTCTTAAGTGATTTCTAAATATGAAGGAGTAATAATATTTAAATATAAAAAAAATTAAAATAACGGATCTCTAAGATACGACAATTATTTATAATATTTGTTAGAAATTATTTAATATGAAAATAAAAGTAAGATATGAAAATTCAAAATATATTAAATTTTTATTATTAATATATTTCTAAATGTAGCAGATGCAAAGAATAAAATATTTTCAAATTATAATAAAATAATTACAATTTCTAAACTACAATTTCTAAAGTTTTACGATTTCTAAACATGAAAGTAATGTTCAAATATAAAAAACATTAAAATATTAAATATTTAATTCAACAAACATGAAAAACAAATATCGTTTTTAATAAGAATTTATATTAAAATATTTTTATAATCCGTTTCAATAAATGTGTTACGGGCTTTTTAAACTAAAGCATGCGTTATGCGCATTTAGTTCCATCTTAATATAATATATTTTACGAAAATATGATATTTAATTGTATTTAATTGGTATTATCCTACAGTGAGAAGAATGATTTATTTTTATTTGAAAATGGACAAATTAGAAAATTCTGATTTAATCAATCGGAATTTCAACTGGATTTCCAACCGGAATTCGATTATCTCAACTATAATTTTATAGTAGATTTTAAAAAATTTTCTCAGTATAATCTTAGAATAAAATGTACTATAAAATTTTTTTTTCAACAAACAACCTTGCATTAATAATATTCAATAACCTTTTTGACTACAATTTTTTGGATAAACGAAGCAATTCCTTCACTTAACCACAGGTAAGGCCACCAAGATGGAGTGACTAAGTTGCCAAACCATTGAAGTGCAAGTTCGTGTGTTATTACCATTGTTATCAAAATTTTTCTATATGATGGATCCTTCTCATTATCGTAGATAAGATTTGAATAACTGAAATAGCATGATATAATTATGTAAAATGTCATTGAATGTGCAATCTAATGAGTTAAGTCTGAGTAATTATAGTGCAATTATATTATGTCATAATTCGTAATTATGACATTACTTACGTAAATAATTTGAATATTTGGAATTTTTTCTTTTTGTACATATATATATATGTACATATATATATTTGTACATATGTGTATAT